ACGAAGATCGTTTACTAGATCCAACTGGAAGAAAATACTAGCTGATTCTATGAAAGCCAATGGAAAATCCACAGCCAGAAATCGAAGTGCAAGAACCTTCAGAGTGTCAAAATTCTAACTTCCTTCGTCTACTGTGGTGGAAGTCTCTAGAAGAGAGTCTGATGAGGGATCTGGTAAGAAACATTCAGGGAAAATGAAACAAAGTGTACAAAAGGAGATGAAAACACAAAAACCACAAAGGTGGCGCTGAAAGGTAAAAGGAAGAGAAAGACATCTGCAAAAGGAACTAAGAAGTCTTAACAGGGACCTGGTCCTCAGGTGCATGTGGATGAAGACTTGGTCAACAAGCGAGAAATTTTTGATAATTTGAGTAAGCAAACTGTCTTGGCTGGAAGGGTGTTTACATAAACATTGTTAATCAACCTGGAATGGACTCTCTTCATGATATTGTAAAGATTCAATCATGGATGCATTTATTTGACTTTAAGTCCTCGCGTTCTTTATGAGGAAGAGGTCCGTCAATTTTATTACAATATTTCATTTTAGAAAGATGGTAGTATACATACTAGAGTGAAAACATTAATGTTCATCTTTCTGAAGACCTACTGGGAATAATACTTGGAGTACCTCGAGGAGGTATCAAGTTCATAGTTGGAAAGGCTTGTTCGGTGGATTTTATAAAGATTTTTTATAAGCTTCCCACTACCCGATGTGCTGGACTGTTCAAGAAATTGATGAAGAGTGAATACCAATTGGTATTTGAGTTTGTCAACAAAATCCTCCTTCCAAGTACTGAAAAGAGGACTTCAGCAACTTCTGCTGATTTGTTTATCATGAAGTCGTTGTGCAAATTTGAATCTCTGGATCTTCCACAACTTATGCTCGAAGACATGTAGAAAAATGTCATTGAGCGGAGAGAAAAGCATGGTATGGGTTATGGATACTTTTTAACTAAAGTATTCAAACACTTTAACATTCCGCTTGATGTAGGAAAAGTTGGTACTGTGAAGCAATCTTTATCCGAGTCTACTTTGGTTGAATGTGAATTCATAGATGGGAAGGGAAATTTTAAAAGCAAAGTGTCTCAACTTGTTGAATACCAAGATCAAGTGAAGCATGAGGTGGAAGAGATGACTATGAGGTTGAGTAGTAAGGATGCAGAAATTGATATTCTTAAGGCCGACCTATTCAAGGCGCAGACTAAAGGACCTGGTACCTCAGAAGTTCAAGAACTGAAGCAGGAAATGTAGAACTGAGGGACAGGATTGTTGCTTTACAAGAGAAATCAATCAATGACAATAATGATGCTAATGATCTACTTACTCTTTTCATTAATTTTCTTTCCCATCAGCCTCTCCCATTCACAGTCCGTCGTATCATCTCCATATATGTCTTTTGTGTGGCTTATCTACCAAGTCTTTTGAATCTTAGTTTAATTTTAATGTATTGAATATTATTTATGGATTGCTATTAATCTTATTCCTCTTTTTTATGGACAATGTCTATTGTCAAATGCACTCTTTTATGTTTGAGTGCATAAAGGCTATGATCTTACCTAACTGTATAATTTGTAATATTGGCTTACTGTGTCTTTTTTTTATGATGCCAAAAGGGGGGATTTTATGTGTGGGTGATTCAGGGGGAATGGGGAAATATGTACTTCAGGGGGAACAACATTGGTGTGTTGGTTTGTGTTACCGCTGGTCTCTGCTTTTGTGAGTTTTCTTCATTTCAGGTGTATGGACAAGAAATTCAATGGGAACAATAAAAGTTGTGATAGTGTGTAATGTTGTCTTGAAGTCTGGAGTATAGTTTGTCATAATCAAAAAGGGGAAAAGTTTTATTTGAAGTTTTGATGATTTGACAAAACACATGGACCTTATGAAGGTACCTGGTTCTCATGTCAAACTGCTTATTGACTTCTAACTGGACAAAGTACAAATAGTTGATGCACAGGTTCCAACAGCATCAGAAATCTTAACTAATGGCATTGGTTTAAGGATAGTGAGATTTCTATACAAGGACAACATCTTCATGCATTTCACTTAGTTTTTGCAACTTGAAAAAGCACATTCAAGAACTCTTGCAAAAGATTAGAATATCAAGAAGAAGAAATATTCCAAAAAACTCAAGCTCAAACGAACATAGTGTGTAGTTGTTTAGAAATACTTTCTTCCAATCTTACATTGTGAACTGATCCAAAAATTATAAAGGAATCAGTGTGGTTTGATCTATAAATTCTAAGTTAGTTAGTTAAACTAATTTAGTGGGCAATCTGTGTGTTGCTTAGAAAAGTCTAAATCATTAGAAGGTTGATGGTTTAGTGGGCAGTCTTTAAGATTTCTTAGAAAATCCTAAGTTGTCTAGTGTGATAGCTTAGTGGGTAGAGTAATATCTACTTAGGCTCATCAAACAATAGAGTTATTGATTGATAGTGAGATTAAAAAAAAATTCTTACATTTTATGTAATCGATTTCCTTTTGCTTGTGAAGATTAGTGAAACGATTTTAAAAATCCTGTGAGATAGGTCGTGGTTTTACTCACTTGAGCAAGGAGGTTTCCACGTAAAACTCCTTGTGTCATTAAACTGCATTTACTTACAGCTAATACATTTTTGTGTGTTAAGAGACCTGGTCCATTGACTTGTTGTGGACCCATAGATTCTAACAAACATACTATAACTCTTTTTTTATTTTTTTTGTGGGGGGGGGGGTAGGGAGATGGAGGGTGGTATGGGTTGAGGTGGGTAAAATAATAAAAAATTTAAGTAGGAAATATTCTTGAAAAGAGTTTTAATTTTCTGAGGGAGGTCATTCTTCTTAAATTTGAGGAAAATGAGTTTATTTGAAAAATTTAAGCCAACCAAACATGGGAAAATTAAAAAACATTATTCGGAAAATATTCTTCTTCATACCAAACACACCATAAAGAAGTCATGATTTTCAAATTGATTAAAAGATAACTACTCTATTGAGAATATAATCAAATAATAAAGGTGGCCGCTCTCTAACAACTTAAACTTTTAGATGAGGTGGTCTCAAATACTAAATTGTCCACGCCATTTTAAATGTACCTACAACATCCAAGGTTCATTTCTTATGCTCTGTGGGGCTTTTATTTGAGTTTCCGTATTTTTCTTTAAATTTCAATATAATGTATTGAAATTTAACGTAAATTAAAAACTCGAACTCTACAATAATAGGAAAAGGGTCAAAAATACCCCTCAACTTTGGTTTATTATTTGAGTTTATCCTCGCCGTTAAAATGAAGTTAAATTTATCCAACCCTGTTACTAATATCACCAAAATTACCCTCATTAGGTAGAATCCCCAAAATTGACCCAATACCTAAATTTATTTTTTTTAAAAAATATTCCCTAATTTTAACACAATGACCCGACCCCTCTAGGATAACCCGATACCAATTAACCCTATTACCCATTCCCGTTTTCTCTCAAATTTACCCATTAACTTCTCCTCTAATTTTCTACGGCGATCTTGCTCAACAAATCGGATTTTCGCCAATGAAAAGTAAGACTTATGGATTTCAAGTTATTTTTTCTACATCTCTCTTTCACTCACCTCTGATTTTTTTTCTCATAAAATATCACAAAAGAGAATTCGTCTCAAAGAAAATCTTCTTGTGGTTTGGTGGTCAAAACATTGATTTCGAGTACTACATCTAATCTGGAAAGAAGATTTTTTAAATGTCCTCGTCCGAATGTATGTATATGAACTGATACTAATTTATTCCTATTTTTGATATGATTTGGTATTTCTTCATATGAACTAGTTTCGCATTTCTTCATATGAACTTATTTCATATTTTTCGTATAAACTGATTTCAAGTATCATTATGGAAGTTTTCTTCATGTGGATATTGGGAATGGAAAGATCAAGTTTTTCCAAAAGTATCTTATCTACGTAATTTAGAATCGTCGTTGAAAGACGTCAAGATGGAAATAGATATTTTGAAGACTGAAGTGGAGAATTTGAATATTGAAATGGAAAACTTGAAGATTGTTGTGACAAAATTGAAGTAGGTCAGTTGTCGGAAAAAATTGCTACATTGGAATCTGGAGTCATCTAATGATTTGGTAGTGGAAAAAGTTAGGACATTTGAAGACAATTTTTTTGTAATTGTCACCGCAAACACTTTTAAAATAAGTTTTTTGTCCATATATATGAAGTATACATCGTGTTCTATAAATGTGTAAGGGAGAGATCATAAATGATCAGGTTCTGTAAATGTGCAAATTTTGTTCAGGTTTCTGTTAATATATGAATGTGGATAATGAAGAATTTGTTTAGCAAAAAGTTTAAGTTGTCCATGCTGGTTTTGGTGGAGTTCTACCTAAGAACCCTATTTGCAATGTCAATATGATGTGAGATTTTGTATTGCTTTCGATATATTCAGTGCAAGCTCATTGTGATGCAACAATTGCATTTCCCATATTTGTAGCTGAGACATTTGCAGCTAAACAGACTAAAATTCTTCTTTTTGCAGCTGTATGGACATTTGCAGACATTTATAGATTGCAGTTGCATTTCCCATGATTTCGAATCAACTTTAGGCACTTACTATTGACCTGTGACATAATTTTTTCGTTATTTCATCAAAGTCATGCTTGAATGCTTCTTTTGCTAGTCCGGTTATTTTTTTCGTTAGTGATAGTTGTAGAGTAAGTTGCTCGAACCCTTCAAAATTGATGTTTTACTCGTATTGGACCCAAAAAAATTACACTTTTACTTTCAGTTCTGCTGAACTCTCGAGTTCTCATGACTGAATGAACATTGATCTGGGAATTCAACTTTGCATTAGTTATGATTATGATGAGAATGAAAAATTGGAGCAGTTATGTTGTTGTATGACAATAATGAAGGGACCAGTAGTCTTTGTTGGTGTAGATGCATTGCATCAAATTTGGTACGTGTGCAGTACAACTAGGAAGCAAAAACATCAGTTACATTAAGCAAATACATTTCCAGAATGGTGCCAAGTTTGAACATTACTTTTTAGTGTGTATTAATTCAATTACTAAACATTACTTCATATTATATCAGTGTCCTTCCATTACAACACCAAAATGAAGAACAAAAAGGTCCTCCCATTACAACACCAAAATGAAGAACAAAAAGGGAACCAACATCACAAAAGACACTAACAACTGAAATTAATAAACACTAACAACTGATGCTGAAAGTAAAGACTAACAATTGTTTCTGACAAATTGCCTACTTTTATCTTCAAATTTTTCACAACTATCTTCAACTTCTCTGTTATAATCTTCAAATTCTCCACTAATTCAATCTTCGTATTGTTCTTTTCCATTTTGACATCTTTCAAAGACGAATCTAAATTACGTAGATAAGCTACTTCAGGAAAAGCTTGGTATTTCCATTCCCAATATCCATTTGAAGAAAACTGTCATAAGAACACTAAAAAGTAGATCATGCGAAAAATACCAAATCTATACATATGAAGAAATACCAAATCAGATCAGTAATAGGAATAAATCAATATAAATTCATATACTTACATCGGGACGAGGGCATCGGAAAAACCTTCTTCCCGGATTAGATGTAGTACTCGAAATCAGTGTTTCGACCACCAAACAACAAGAACATTTTCTTTAAGACGAATAACTATTTTGTGACATTTTCTTAGAAGAAAAATAAGAGGTGAACGAAAGAGAGATGCTGGCAGAATAATGGGTAGAACAAAAGAGAGATTTCGTATAAAAAATAATTTAAAATCCACAAATTTTACCTTTCGTTGGTGAAAATTTTATTTGTTGAGCAAGATCGTCATAGAAAATTAGAGGAGAAGTTAATGGGTAAATTTGCGAGAAAATAGGAATGGGTAATATGGTTAATTGGGTTAGTTGGTACAGGGTTATCCTAGAGGGGTCGGGTCATTCGTTAAAAATAGGGAATACGTTTTTCTTTTTAAAAAAATTATCAGGTAAATGGGTCAAGTTGGGTAATTTTGGGAATTTCATTTTATGAGGGATAATTTTGGTGAAATTAGTAACGGGAGGGTAAATGTAACGACAAGGATAAAATCAAACAATAAACCAAAGTTGTGACAATAATATGATGAATTTCGTATATATGGAAGGTAACTTACTATCAAATTTTTTTCACCGTAAAAATAGCTATTAAAGATGGAAAATGGCTTAAATGAATTAACAATTACTTTTTTATTTTTAAGTATAAATTTTAAACCTTTAAACATAAATGAATAGACACTCAAAATAAATATAGAATACCAAACTAAAATGAAAAGAAAGTATATAATAATAGAAGAAAATAATTGTATGTGGCGTGACGTAAGGGGAGTTGCAAATAGGAGTTTGTCATAATATGAGCCGTTTTTGTTATGTTTCTTTTTTCTAAATATTTTCTCTCTCTCTATGCTTGCGTTTGTTATAAAATTGTAATCATGAATTTTTGTCTTTTTGCATTTTTATCTTCTTTTTGACTTTTTTCTCTTAATGTTGTATTTTGCTTCTTTTATAAAAAAATATTTTGGGTACATAAGAGAGAGATGTGTTTGAGAGGAAATAGGACAATGGATATATAGGAGAGAGATGTACCAAGAGGGGAGGAATGTATTAAAAGGAGGGGTAGGTTCAAGATACACAGGGGATGAATGTATCTATGAGGGATAGATATATAATAGTGAGAAAGAAGTGATGTATCCGAGAGAGGTTCTTTTATTATTATTTTCAAATGGTAGGGAATCTTAGGGATTATGATAAATAAGATGTGCATTTGGGTAGTTTTCCTATTGGCATAACATAAATGTGTCTTTTAACTTGGCTTCAAAACACATTATGCACTTCAACTACATTTGAATGTGCACAAATAGACACTTAAACTTGTATAAAGTTGAACAAATAGACATGTATGTCCTACATGTCATTTTTTGTCCTACGTGGTATCTTACGTGTATTGTGCCATTTAGGACTCATGTGTTTATTTATTTAAAAGTTGGATAATTAAAGTATCTGTTTGTGCATTATGAAAATTGGAGATCAAAGTTAAAATATGAAGCCAAGTTTAGGATTTAATGTATGTATTATGTCTTTCCTATTTACTATTAACCATATATTTAGCTATAATATTTACTATAGAATAAATGTTTATTCAATTTTAATAGATCATATATTTGTTTATGGTGTCTATTATTATATAGTATTGATATAGTGTTACTCTATTTTTTTTAATTGTTGTTTTTATGATTTGTCTAGATTAATTTAATTGATTTAAGTCTTCTGAAATTAGTTTCTTTTTTCTTCTCAAATTAAAAATAGAAATAAACTTTGCATACATATCTAATATATTTTTTTCACACTTTAATAATAAATTATATTTAATGGAAAAGGGTCTAAAATACACTTGAAGTATTGAAAATGGTACAAAATTACCCGTCATCCACCTATTGGCTACAAAATGCCCTTTTCATCCACCTTTGAGTTCAAAATTGAGCACTTATTTAATGATTTTAAATTTAAACTATTTAAATATTTTTAAAATACTTAATGTTAAACTATTGGTTATAATTTAATTTATCTGTATTATTTATAAACCAAACCACTATCCACCTATTACTAACTAAACCCCACCCAATTAATAATCCAACTATAATATCAAAATCGTCATAAACACTCCTAAAATAACAATTATTAACCAATTAAGAAGCTATACTCATTGGCCAATTGTCAAAAGAACTACTATAATTAGGCATGTGCTTCTGTTCATGTGTGATGCATATCGGTATTTGGATTAATTAAGTGCTGGGAAGGTAATTAAAACATCTTAAACTAATTAAATACTAACCAAATAAACAACTAATACATTTGTCGTCATAGCACCATGAGATGAGCAAGTAAGAAAAAAGGGAAACACGAATAAGTATTAAGATTTGGCTGATGAAAGATTAATTTCATAATGATATACTTCAATTAAAGATCAAGAGAGTACAAAGAGAATACCTTTTTCCCTAACAAAATATAAATAACTGTTTTTTTATCTTACCCTCTGAAAAAAAAAGCTAAGGAACGTGATTTTTTTATCTCTTAGGACTCGTTTGGTAGGGAGTAAGAATGAGTAATTTCAATTTATTTCTTATTTATGTTATTTGGTAGGTAATAATACTTATTATACATCATAATTTAGAAAAATACCATAGAATGATAGTCGAGAATTAGGAGCAGCACAAAATAATAATTATAAGAACTTTAAAGTCGAATTAAATTTTATTATATAATAGGCCTTCAATTTTAGAAAAATCATAATTACAAATGTGATTCATGTTTTGTGTCTCGACATATTTGAATTATAAGAAGTAGAACAAAAGTACTCCTGTGATATAATTTTTTTTAAAAATAAATAAGTCCTTTTTTTTATTTATGAAAAGAGTAGGTGAGAGTTGGAAACTAGGGATTTGATAATGGGTTAAAAGGGATGGGTTTTGGGTCGAATAAGATATAAAAGAAGGACTTTCATATGGGTCGGGTTATTTAAAAGAGGAGTAATTTATGGGTGTTTTAAAATTGGGTCAAAACATTTTAGGGGCATATTTGATCCATTCTATTTTAAAACTAAATGTCAAGTGATAATATAAAAATGACGTGGAAAATTCATTTGACATTTAAAGAAAATTAAAATGAGTTGGATATTTTGAGTTGGCCAACTAAAGCTCATAAGGGCATATTTAGATGAAAAGTTAGAGGGCGAGGGTATAAATGGACCAAACTATAAACGAGGTATACCTAAACCTTTTCGAATAGTACGAGGGACATATTTGACCCTTTTACCACAAGAGAAATAAAGAGTAGTATTTATGTTGTCATAGGATGAGAGCTTAACAGTTTGTTTCCTGAATTTCATGGGCAGTTAGCACTCATATATTATAATGTTGATATTACTACACACATTAAATTTGTGATTCAGTTTTTCACCTTTCCTATTGGGGCATTCATCCCTCCATCCCCCAATTTATAGTTTAACTTGACATATGAAATTTAAAAAAAATTATGCGACATTTTTAAATTTTTGAATCTTAAATAAAAATGTATAGTCTTGTAAATCTTGCAACCTTGTCAGGTTGTTGGAATTAGAAAAATTAACAAAAATATTTTAAAAAAACATCATCTCTGAAATAACATACTTAAATTTGAAAAAGAAGATTATTTTTAGTTATCTTGTATAATAGAAAAACGAAACCTGGTTCTGTCACAACACACTTCAACCTTTGTTTAAGATATTTCTAATTTCTGGAGGGCAGCATATTACTATGTTGTTCATCCTAAGATATTTAGAACAAAACTTTGAAGAACTTGGTAATAAACAACAAACTTTTAGAGTATTTTCAAAACTAGAAACTTTAAGACTAGCAAAGAAAATAGAATCAAAAATTGATTAGAAACAATATCAAAATATTTTTGTCAAAGAGAAAATCGAGCCTAATGAGTAGTGTCCCCTTAAGGAAATTATTTCCCTCAAGTACCCGAGGTTAACGGAATATATCCTCCCAGGATAGAACAATCTTACTCACCTGTGTATCGGCAGAGTGTTAATGAACCACTCAACAGTAGTAGAATACTCATAGAGTATTAGATTTAGTAGTAGTAGAAGTCCAGAAAAAAATGTTCAACTAAAATGAGAGGAAAATCCTCAATTTATAGAAAACAAAGTGTAGTGTGAAAAGATTCTTATTGTGCCTTATCGAAAAGGTCACAAACCTTTGAAAAAGTCACAATTTTTAGGAAGATCACAACCTTTCATAAAAGTCGCAACTCTTCATAAAAGTTACAACTCTTTATTTTCCATTCACACCTTTTATAACCCAACAATCCCCCGCATGAATGGGGAATGACTCCAAGAAAAAGAAACAGACAAGTATGTGTGCTTTACAAGAAAGAAATTATTGTGTGTGGATAAGTAGATTTACCCTTGGACTTTCCGTAGTGAACATATGTCGGATATACTCGGTCAATTGGTAGATATGATATCTTTGAGCCGTCAAGTTTTGGTGTATACCTAGACAATCATATGTCACAGAATTAACCCTTTACCTTTATGATTATTATGATTGTGTTCGTTTTAGTCAAGAACACCTCCTGTTTTCATCAGTGTATATAGAATAGACTTTTGACAAAAATTCTCTTTGAAACGGCTTGCACTTCACATTCACATAGGTGATTTCTAACTGTGTTATCGTGTAGATACACTATTTGGTCAAATCTGTCAAACTTAGCAAATCATTAAAAACATTAACCTTTATTAAATCTTTGACACGCCTTAATGTTGTATTCTTGTTTCTGAGCATTGTGTTCATCATGAGAATGAATTGAGTTTGTTGACAATGTTGAACCGTCAGTCACGACTATGTTATTCTCCTTGAATCTAGTTTTTTGGATCTCAAGTCTACTAGATAGATTACCTCCACGATGGCTTGTCCTAAGTCATAATTCCATCCCTTTAGATGATATTTAAACTTTCTCTCAAGTTAAGCCTTTTTGTAAGTGAATTCGACACATTATCCTTTGACTTTGTATAGTCACCACTAGAGAATAGTTTTCTAAAGTATCATGTCTATGTACTATATGACGAAACTTTTCATTACACTTCATGCCCTACATATTCTATCTATACTATAAAAGTGCATGCAACTAATGTCAATAGTTTCAGCTAAAAAAGAATATCTATCAAGAAATTCCAGAGTCTTTAAACTCTTTTTTCGACCTTATATAGAGCACCTAGATTAGAGATCATTATAGAGCAAGCGATACATGTCTTTTTGTTCTGGAAGATTTCCAAGAGACTACTCCTCTACCAAGAGTAAATACATATTCACTCGTGGATTTTACTTCATTTGTCCGGTGATCCAATATGCATCACTATATCCTTTCAATACTACTTGATATTGTTATAATGTAAGACATAGCTTTAAGTATTTCTTATATACTCCAAAGCTTTTTCATTGTCATCTAATGAGTTCAATTGGGATCACTCGAGAACCGACTCAATTCATTAATAGCACATGCTATATATGACAGCCACACTTCGTGATATACATCATACTTCTTTGTACTCTAACACAATCCAATTTTGAGTCATTTTTGTTTTCACTCTTTTGAAATGCAAATCTCGTATTTATTGGAGACTTGACAATATTGAAATCCAAATATTTGAACTAGTTAAGTACCTTTTCAATGCAATAAGACCGTGACAATGCTAAACATTATGGAGTTCTAAGGATTCTTATCCCTAGGATCGCATAAACAACTCCAACATTTTTCATATCAAACTTATTTTCTAACATACATTTTGTAAAATTTATGTCATTAGTGTCTCTAGTCTCTATTGATAATCAACATATCACCAATATACAAACAAATAATGACCTTCTGATTTTAATCTGAACACATTTTCCACTTCCATCATTCTTAATTCCATTTGCCAACATAGTTTGGTCAAATTTCTTATGTCATTGTTTGAGTGCTTGTTTTAGTTCATAAAGTTAACCACAAAACCTCGGGTTGTTTAATGTAAATTTCTTCCTCTAATTGTCTATTTCAGAGAGTTGTTTTCACATTTATTTGATGAATTTAGAGTTCATACACCAGAACTAACACAACTAACATCCAAATGAATGTAAGTATGTGTCAAAAAGATCAAGACCTTGTTTTTGTCTAAAGCCTTTGACAA